ATCCCTAAATAAATTAAGTAGCTCTATGGTTCCATCAAAATTCGTTTCCCACTCAGAGAGGGAAGAAAGTGCTACTACTACTTCTGGAGCACAAGGATAGAAGAAGACGACATTTTTGCCTTCATACCTACTATAACTTCAGTGAGCTTTCTCAGCTTACTTGTTGTTGCTGAGGACCACCATACACGGGATAACCTCCATAAGGCGCAGCAGCATACATTCTCGGGTCAACGGGTGGTGGTATCATGTATCCGTAACCGTTGTAATATTGACCTCCATAGTACGGTTCAACCCATTGGTCTGCGTACTCGCCTCTAGGCTGCAAAGACAACCATACATTTTTAGTCAGATATGAGAAACCCGGGGTAGGAATATAAACCAAATCCACACCGAAATTCTTAATTCAGGTTCAGCCTAATATGCAAAAGAAGAATGAAACCAAAACCAATGTGTAGCCAAACCGAATAGAACGGATCTCAGTAATTTTATCTATACATCTACTTAAAGTTGATGTAATCTTATTTACAAGCATTACATATTTAAGCTCAATGGGAATTTGTTACATGCTCTACTTTAAAAGACAATAGAAAGAGTGGCATTTCAAACAATGTAGATCTACACAAGATAGAGCAGAGTTACCTGTTTGGCTGGATTACGACCCCAAGAGAGACGAACGGTTTGTTTTCCAATTACAGACCCATTCAGTTTTTCCAACGCCTCCTCTGCGTTTACTCTGCAACAAACGTTCAGTATCAATTCAATCAGATTGAGTGGACAAGCAAATATTAATTAGCTTAACATCCACAGTTCCTAGCTTCAGTAGTGCATAAATGGTACCTGTTCACAAACTGAATAAATCCGCATCCTTTGCCGATAGGTATCTTCACAGAGACTATTTCACCAAATTTAGCAAAAGGTTCTCTAAGATCTTCGTCACTGACACTAGAGTCAAGCCCTCCAACAAAAATCTGCAGTATAAACATGGAGTAACGATCATACCCAGGTTCCCACACTCACAGTCACAATCATGCAAAACGGAGAAACCAAGGAGATACAAGGAAAATATTACTGTTGTGTTCAATGAGTCCCCTTCATGTCGAGCCAAGACACCGTTCGACATATACCCACCTGCCAAATCCAACAGATATTATGAGACTCAAAAGATATACATGTAACGAGAACATTTGAAGATCCTCATAAATACTTGTTGCCTTAAGAGAAAATCTCAAATCAATATTTGGTCAGACAAGTTAATCAGGGCACATCTCATGAGTAATGAGAAGCTTCAAATTACATATAAAACAGATGTTTTAATAAGCAAATATGAAGGATCAGATAAAATACCTTGTTGGTGATAACCAGTTGGCTTCCTAGGGGTTGCAGGAGCTATTCGCATAGCTCTACTAAGACATTTCACACCACTCATCTCCTCCAAAGCTTTGCTCCTCTCTTCATCATCTCCAAATCTCACAAAGCCATATCCCTTTGATCGACCAGTATTGCCATCTAGGACGACTTTAGCAGACTTGACAGATGAGTATTTCTCGTTGAATGTTTCAAGCAACAGAGTATCGGTGACTTCAGGCGCTAAGTCCCCCACAAATATGGAGAGATCAGGACCGTTCTCTAAGCGCTTTTCGCCGGTGCTGAAACTAGCCCAGTTTAAACGGAATGGTTGGTCAGAATTCAACATAGTTTCACCATTAAACTCCTCCAAAACCTTCTCTGCAACATCGTGGGAAACAAATTCCACAAAACCGTACCCCTCAGACAAACCAGTGTGCTTATTACGAATAACCTTAACCGACGAAATCTGCATCGTAACAAGTACAACAACACATATATCACCAAGATCCAGAACAAACAGAGTCAATGTAAATTAACCATAACACAGCACATCTCAAATCAAGAAACGAAATTGGACTCGAGTATAACTGTGACACTGGACATTTTTAGTATAATCATAAATCATCACATGTATTACCAAGATCCAGAACAAACAGAGTCAATGTAAATAAACCATAAAACATGCTTCAAACAGATTAGCACATCACATCTCGAATCATCAAGTAACTGTGACACTTTTAGTATTATCATACATCAAAGAAACGTTTTTTTAGAATCATACAAACTTTAACACTAAAGCTACCAATTTTACCAAGTCAAGACAATAAAAAAAAACAAAGACTTTGAAACAGAACTAAGAAAGAAAGTGAGATTTCAGACCTCGCCAGAGGAAGAAAAGGAAGAGTTAAGATAACTCTCATCCATCCAGTGAGCCAAATCACCGACCCAGATTGTCTTATTCTCAGAATTAGAAGCGTTCTGATGTTTGTTACC